ACTACCATCTGCGATCCAGCCGCTCCTCCTTCTTAATGTGGCCTCCATATTACTCACACTCCATGGGGTCCGAGTCACTCTCTCTCTCCTCTGCCTGTGTAAGATCCTGGTCAGTGTGCGTTGTGAACTAGGGGGTGTGGTAGTGCTTCTGAATGCGGATTTTCGCCGTGTCAGCCAGATGCGCTATCTTCCGCCTCCGGTCTTCTTGACTCTGTCTTGACATCGGGCCCAGGTGGAGAAGGAGAGAGTGCAGTTGATTAGGCGCAAGTCCATTATCACTTTAAACTACTTCCCGTGCAAGTCACCGTCCTTGCTCTCACCCTGCTGTGGAGCACAGGGTGAGCATTATCGACAACGACGATCGAACTGTCGTTGGTTTAACAGGATGTCCTCCGAACACGGGTGAGTTTCTACGTCTGTGGATGTGTTCTGTCCTGTGTGAGGCTCTTTGCTGTGTTGCCGGCTTTATGGTAAGCACTAGTACGGGGCTGTAACCAGCGTACCCCGATGTCCGTGCTCAGGGACTAGTGTCCTCCTTCCTGTAACCTCCTCCATCATAAGTTAGAATTATGCGAAAGTGACGTTAATTGGGCCTTCAAAACGCGCCTTATGCGTAATAGGTCCAAATCGACTGCATGGAGCGAAAATGTTAGTTTTTAGTGTCAACGACTTTGCTGACGTAGTCCGAGATCGGAGAATGCTAGTGGGGACCACCGGACGGAACTGATAATCTGTCCGTTAAATGTCTGGACCCTAGAATGGACATTTACTGATCAGGTTAGGTGACATGCTCGTCCCATTAACTATGGGGCTCAGTCTACATCCCCGGAGGCATTTCCACGACGATTAGTAACGATGTAGAGGGAGAGGGCTGACAAAGACCAGGGACTTGAAGCAGTTCGCCAACAGTGTCAATTTAAAACAAACTTCTTAATGTTCTCTTCTCTTCTCTTTTCTCTATGGCATTTCTACATTATCCCTTTTGCGTCGGTTAGAGTGCACTCGGTGCAATGAACTTGTTGTTTTCGCATTGGTTTTCTGTGCAGATTCAACTTGCTCTATACCCCGTAATTGTTATCACTGTTATGCAGCGACGGGTAGCAGTTGATAAGCTGTCAAGAAATCCATTGGTAGTAGTAAGTTCAGCCATTTATTCCGCTTGGAGGACAAGGGTGGCTGGGATGATTATCTGGGATTAATGGCCGTCGTCAGCCAGTCATACCCCCTCCCAGGTTTGAAGGACCTGAGATTTGAAACTGAAGTCTTTAGTCGCTACATTTTTACAAGTCCAGAATCCCAATATCGAGCCACAGGTCCAGCGTTCCGTCGGCTGCGGCTGTCTGCGAGGCTCTTGACTGAGTCCCAAGACGAAAGGGATGAGCATGTCCCATAACACAATCGGGGAATTTTCATGCTATGACACAGAATATTTCACTCGCGACCGGCAGGACATTGGGCCTGTGGCAGTTCGCGTCTCCTTACCCCCCGCCTTTGTCACGCTGCCTTTCTGTCCGCCTCACAATCCTTGTCGATACGCTGATGGGACACGCTTGTCACTAGCCTTGCGAGTGCTCCAGGCCAATCAACGCTGTCCCCCCTCTGATTGGTTGGCGGACGCGGAGACAGCGAAAGGCGCACAGACGCCCTCGAAGGCGGGCACAGACAGCAACTTGCTTGGAGCGCGCCCGCAGCGATTGCCTACAGAGCCTTTGTGTACGCACTTCAAAAACAGTAAAGGTTGTCCAACTCACTCCGTCTTCCCCGACTTTTGATTGGGAACCTTTGTCTTGTCGACCACACACCTTTCGACAGGCCCATGGCCAAGTGGTATGTGGCTGGACTAGTAAACGCTCGATAATCGCTCGATAGTCACAGGTACTGCAAACCTGGGGTTGGAAATGGCTGGCTGACATCGATTAATAAGCCAGAAATTACTATCTTAGTTGGCCTTGTCAGTGTCGTTCTTTCGTCCCGCATTTAAAGTAAGACGTATAGTCAGGATAAAGTCAGGTAACGCCATATGGTGTTCCGCGCTGTTGTTCATGCACATAGGATCTTGAACTTTTGTCTCCGAGAGCAGTAATCAACAGCGCGACACTCCGCCGGCTGTTTTACTTCTGCTGGAGCTGTGTGTAGATTTCTGGTGTCCACATGGTGCATAAATCGAATTGTTGGAGTGATGGTGTGGTTCGGGTGGGGCATTAACGACAGTAAAATAAATTATCCAAATTAGTGCGCACCTGGGTTTGAGAATGTACATCCACTGTGAAGACAGTTCCTCGGGCCGACAGAATGACTGCAGTTTTCGCATCCCAAGAGAATCAGCTGTGAAGGCAGACAGGTGTGCTGCTGTGATTTGGTCAATGTGGGCCGTTAATTTGGCACGTTACTATGAGAGGCGAGCGCATTTCCGACGCTGTGCATTCCACAGAATTTAGAACCGGACGAATTGGCTAAAGACCCGCTTGACGGTGGCTCGACTGTCCGGACTAAAGAGGTTGGTCAAGGAGAAGACCGTTTGCAGAAAGGGTGGTGGTAAGGTTGGACAGTAGGAACCGGCAGAGACACCATAGGGAATGGTACTGTTGCCAAAAGAGTCTGGAGTTGAGGCCTGGGGCTGCAGCCCTCACAGGGCAACTGGTATGTCGTTAAACTGAGGCCAGGACCTTAAGGCCAGTGTCTGAGGGAATTCGAAGGTGGGTGGCAGGGGACTGGACAGCTCATCAGCCATCTCCCGTTGATATGGGGAGCATCAGAGGTGGATAGGTTGATGTCGTTAATTTGGCGATTCTCCCGAGTGTTGAGCAAATTAGGGCGCGGAGATGGTGAAGACCGATGGTAAATTCGGAATTCCGTGACCTTCGCCTAGCAGGGTCTGCAGTTGGTAGCCGTTAAGATAATCAGTACACTCCTTCCGCCACAACCTTCAGGCCACGGCTCGATCAGCGAAAGCATTGGGGGCAAGTGACCATGGGTCGTTCAATCCCCGACACCAAGGTGAACGCTACAATGATAGCGTTTGGCCGCATGATCCGGACGATAGGTAATTCCCTCATTTATCAATAAACTGCATGCGTAATACACACGCTGATGTGTCCTTGAGGTCGGCGATTGGCTGAACTAGCTCGTTCGGCTTAGCGATCCAGGGAGACCATGGAAGAATTCCAGAGTAACATCGTACAGTATCCCTCTCACCTCTCACCGCCCCACGGCGCCTCTGTGAAATCAGACTTGTTCATTTTGCCCGTCTCGGTCTTCCTGAGGTTCAAATCAAATACGCAGTAGGATTATCTGATAGCTTCAGAACTCTTGTCATTAACATTAGATTTCCGCGGACAACCAATGTTCCCTCTATATTTACTGGAATAATTGCGACTTCTTAATCTTTCTAGCTTTTTCGCTGACATTCATTTTGACGGTGAAGGACATCCGAGATGGCCCTCATGAAATAGTGGAAAGGTAACTTGCTGATGGAGAAGGTTCTTCGAGTCTTCTTTTGCATTCGTTTGCAGGAATGTGAACACGAACTTATTAATGCAATTCATCAGGTGGACGGCTCCTTCTTTGTCGCAGGATCCGCTCCGGTGCAGGTTTATCTGTTGGACCACAAACTGCTTAGATGACAGTTTATAAACACTTCCGAAATTCCGATCAAGGCAGTGTGCTCTTTGTAAATCAGACATTTTATCACCGACTTAGGCCTTATTAGTCGCATGGCTTCTGAGGGTCCTATTCGCTATCTTGAATCTTCACTTCCATTAACAAAGGTAAATTGAAAGATGGTATTCTAAAGAGTTCATTACTTTTGTTACGGAGAGCGGAGGTGGTGCAGAGCCACGGCCTGTGGCAAGATGACGACGCAACCGTCCCCCGTGGCATGTTAACTCGTACAGCCAATTAGCGCGCGCAGCAGTATCGAGCACAATGGTTTTGCCCGCGCGTGCGGCCCAATCAATGGCTGGTCGAATATGCAAGACTTCTCCGCGGGGGGATTCGCGCGCACGCTATGACCAATCCGCGACCGGCACGCCTTAGGCAGGCCCGTCATTGGCCGGAATGTTTCAGAATGCACAGGGGCCAACATAAACAAGACGCCTTTCTGACAAGGAAAAAAGCCCTCGTGTTCGCGGGCTGTCAATACAGTGCTTGTTTTCCGAACCGGCTCCCTTTCTGCTCCACCTTTCGGCCGGGTCATACAAATTTTATCCCGACAGATTGTGTGGCAGTTTATTTGATCATCAGTAGACTGGCGCTGGTTTTATTATTATGGAATTAATGGTGTGCTCCTACCTTACCGGCGGGGCTAACTGCCTTCCAGAGAAAATGATAGTTCAGCTCCTGGACTAATCGTAGTAAGTGGAGAGACGTGGTATGTAGATGCCAACCCCATCAGCAGGCTTATAGAATGCTACGCTATTATTTGCGCAATGAACGGAGCAAGGCAGGACTTGGAGAAACCGCACAGCCAAAAGTCCGCCATAAGGCGGGGGCAGAAAAAAAGAAACAGACAGCCCATGTGCATTTCTGATCGATTTAGGGCATTTGGCGTTCCGAAAGCAGTGAGTCGACCATGTTCCCCGAAACTTCAGCAGTTCACAGTACGCTTCCTCCGGTGATCCCTTTCTCTTTTCTTCAACTTTCTCAAAGTCCCGATAATTTAGAGGCCCCAGATCTCCCCGATCTCGTTATTCATCCCATAGGGGATGAAGGACTCTCGGCTTTACTGTGTCAGGACCTATGGTGTTTCTTGGCAAAGTAATTCAAATATGATAGGCTTATAAATTACTTGCCTACAAATCCGGTTGGGTTTTCTGAGTGACTGCAGTCTATACAAAGAGACAAACCAAAGCATTGCAGATATTTCTGTGTGCAAAGATAAGGCAAGAGCAATCACAAAAAGTATTAAGCTACGGAGTCTCGCTGGAGATTTAAGCGTCGAGAACAAAATTACGATCAAACTATTGATGACTCTCTCTTGTATGGAAGCAATTCAAATACTAGGGTTTGATCAGTAGGCTGGTTTTGGCAATGTGAAAAAGTTCTCTAAGTCATGTAATGACGTGCACAGCCCTAGTTGGGAAAGGAGATACGTTCACCAGGAGGGATGTATTTGAGCCATGATGTTCCAAGTAGCGATGTCAACTACTCCTTTTTATAGATGGCGAGGTACTTTGTACACCTTCCTCTGTGCAGGGCATGGGTTGCAGGGACATAAAACCTGCCACGTGGATCTCCAAGACCTGCTGTTGGTGGGAAACTGACCCGCGATTCGCCGTGTTTCGGGTCACCCGCCCTAGTTTACTATGGCAGTCACAACATTTGCAAGCTTTGACAGGCTTTTGCCAAGTAGGTCCACAAAATCGGGTGTCTGCTCCTAAGACCAATGAGTTGGCCGCCACCCTATTCCGCTGTACTGCCTTCAGTCGTCAAAATGGAAGGGAGGGCAGTTTTCTTATCTGACATTTCACACTCGTGCCTGAACACATCGCTGATAAAAGATAGCATGAAAAAGTGTAGATTTTAATTAGGTCCTGTGGGACCACCTGTGTTGGATTCATTTGCATGACCTCTTGTCGACATTTTCCATACTTCGACGTTATCTGATAGGTTTATGGAGGTCAGACAAGTCGATTACGATTGACCAAGCGCGTTTCAGACTGTCGGGCCACAGTGAGTACTCCCATCATTCTTATTTCGGCCCATCTGAATAACTGCTCACTTTCGAGGACGAATCGATGATCGTTCTTGGTGCTGTTCGCGGCAGCATACAATGTTTGCCCATTACAGCTATGATACATATAAGAGTACAAATATATTTGGCCATTTGGCTGTTGCGCCATAGCAGTTAGATAAATGGTCCTAGCAGTTGACACGGCCTCAGGCTACGCGTGCAGGCATCAGGTACTGCCCGGCTCACAGTGAGTGACCCTAGCGTCAAATTCGGTGGCTTGAGAGACAGGCAAGACTTCAGGTTGTTGTTTTTGCTCCCAACTGACCCGCGCGTGCCCTTGGTATAGACATTCGTCTACGAAACCATGGAGATATCTGGAGGAATGGAAGATGTGTCAGTAGGCACCTGCGCTCTCACAGCCTCTCTGACTCAGTTTAATCCCTAACCCCAACCCCTAACCTTAATCCCTAACCCAAACCCCTAACCTCTACCCCCTAGCCACTAACGAAATCGGATCTTGCCGGTTAATCCTTAAAACTGGTCACGCGGGCGATGAACCCGGCCAGTGAAGGGGACCACGCTAGGACACGATATGCGTTTACCTAGGCTACACAGAGTTCACGCACCCAATAACAAATGCATCAGATCGGGGTGTGGTGTGGCGCGCCTCGTTCCGTCCAGCAACCTACGCCTAATCCCAGCGTAGCCACTCCGGACAGCGGACTGGTGCCTGGGAGAGGGTAGGGGCAGCGGTAGCTCGACGGTCTTAGCGCCAATTCCTCTCTATAAACAGTCTGACCCGCTTGAATTTATCCCAAAGCGCTTGGAAGGTTGCCAATCTACAGGATAAATCAGCTCTCTCGAGACGGAGAGTCAGGCTACAATGGCTCTTTCTTGGTGTAGCCCTATGGGATCTGAGTCGTCCCGTACCCTGTTTCTGTGAATATACAGTTCACTGTACGCCGACCAGGTTGTGCATGGAATGCGGTCACGTGCTGTTGGCCTTGTTAGCCGCTGCGCCTGCGTCTGGTCCCGTTTGTCCAGACCTGATTTTAACACCAGGCTTAGGTGAAAGCACGACAGATGCAGTGCACTTCTCCTCTTACCACAAACTAATTCACGCGCAAGTCGCTGTCCTGAGACCTCCAAATATGGGGACAGACAATGGACACTGTTGTTATTGACAGTCGGAGTGATGTAACTAGTGGAAGCTGGGCAGTGTTACCGAGGATGGGCAGACGACGGCGATGCTTGGAACGTCAGGATGCAAGTGTGACGCTTTTGGTGGGACTCACACTATTGGGACAGTCTTGCCTTTAGGAGCTTCACTAATCCATATGCAAGTGGAATATCCAAATGGAAATATTTTTATCTCCACACGTGCAGTAGTGGTGAGTGTTTTGCGAAGTCAGTTCTCCTCTGGCGCTATTAGACAACGGCAGAATTTTACTCGATTACGTAATTGACTTAAAAAAGTACACACATGTTTCGGTTCGATCGCATGGAAAGTAAGGCGATTAAGACGATAAAATAAATTGGATGGTATATTTCATCTTACGGTGGTGATGGTGACCAGCAATCTGATGGTGGCCAGCCGTCTGATGATGGCCAGCCGTCTGATGATGGCCAGCCGTCTGATGATGGCCAGTCGTCTGATGGTGGCCAGCCGTCTGATGATGGCCAGCTGCCTGATGATGGCCAGCCATCTGATGATGGCCAGCCGCCTGATGATGGCCAGCCATCTGATGGTGGCCAGCACAGTGGAGAGAGTCTAAAACAGAGGATAAATGTTTGTTCAAAGAGCCACGTACAATTGCAGAAAGCGCCAACCGAAAATATGGATTTGTGGAGGTACCGGACTAATTTACCTTTGACAATTTAGTCCTATTTTCCTTGATCGGATTGATTGTTTGAATGTGGCGAAAAACAACACACCTGTACAACCCGCCTTGCTAGCGTGCTCCGCTGTGGTATTCTATTGTCAGTTTTCTTAACGTTCAAAATCTCTATATTATTCACTGCTCAGTTTTACTTGCTGCTTTTAAGGCTAGGGGCTCGTGGGATATAACTCGTTAGTTCGTGAGAACATTAGCATTTACGACAGATTTTCACTTCTGATGAACCATAGAATCCCGTGCGATTGCTCACGACGAATGCCCCTAATTCAGTGAATTGTCCAAATTTTAATTTCACAATTGCAGTTGTGTGCATCGGGGCTATCCGTTACGAAGGGGCTGCCGGACAATTGCTCCCCGCCCAGCTGCCTTGTGAGATCATTTCGATTTCGGTCAACAAAGGTGCACAGTTGTGTGAGTCCATAATGGTTAACACAGTCTCTCAGTATCATGGCAAGCTAGTCTAGAAATTAATCTTTTATATTGACTGACAGATTACGTGATATGTTCGCAATAAATAAAAGGTTATATCAAAGCAAGTCATTGCAATATATGCACTTGGACTCCCGTAAAGTTCACTTATAGGACGGAGATCAAGCGTCACCCATTAATAACGTTCCATCCCAGTCAAAATCGCAACAAGCAGACTCAACTAAAACCTCAGCCTTCCTTTTCCAGGCCGCATGCAACTTACTACTGCCGAAGGGTAGTCTACGGACTGGAGAGAAGGAGGAGGCATCATATGGGATCTTCAACGGACCTTCAGTGACCGTCAAAAAAGTCTGATTTGACTCTAGGCCTTTCAAAGTCTCCTAAAGCCTTGGCGTACATTTACATCACCGGCATTCCAGTAGCAACTGGCTTCCTGCCGCCGCGGTCCTTAGGATAAATAAGAGAGAATCGACCCAGTACGTCGGCAGTAAAACATAACCCAACTTACATTCTCCCTCTGATAACTAAATAATCTCAGAACCCTTGGCGTGTGCTCTCAGTACCTGCAGATTGACGAATGCAGCTCTTCGGTGTGCCTTTAAGCTTCTCTCACCACTAATCCCTGTCTTTGGAATTAGGCGCCCTTCTCTCATATACGCACTCCAAGTCTGCATACGCCATCGTTGCAAAATTTCCTGTTAAAAGCTCTGTGATAAAAAGATTGTGGACTAGTCAAGTAAATAAGCACACCAGTTCCAATTTTAAAAGGGCTATTGACACGCCCGATCAAACCTACTGTGGATGCGCAGGTATAATCCGAAAATGCCTACCTTGTTCATCGCGCTCGCAGCTTCGGCTACATCGGCATGGTTGGTTGCATCGTTGACCTTGGCTGCA